CGTCTGATAATAATTGATGCGACATTCTTATCGGAGTTATGCAAATATCAATTTTGTCATAATTCTGTAACATTTAATTTTTCATCGTTTTTTTTTTTTTGTGTGTGTGAGGAATTACAAAATGTAATATTTTTGGTTTAGTTTTTTTAAAGTTTGATTTAATTAATATAAAAGAATAATATTTTGCATTTTTATATATAACTTTTTAAAAAATATTTATAAGGACATATTTTATTTTATAAAGGATATTTAAAATATCAATAAAGAAATGTTGGAATTTTAAACAAGACGTTTTTATCTTTCTACATAAATTTAAATAGTATTTTATACACCTAAAGGCAATATTTTAAACTTGAATAATATTAAAAAGTTGAAAATAATTATAAATTTACAAATTTAATAATACCATTTTTTTTAATTCGGTAAATTATTCAAAATTTAAGAGTTGTAATAAAAGTACGGATGTGGTTTTGTTAAATGTAAAAAAAGGTTTTATGGTATAACCTATATATTGTCGCGGAGAAAAATAAAATAAATCCCTCAATTAATGTCCTACTGGCCTGGTACTTATTGTTTGCGGAAGAGCATTGCTCGATGCAAATATTTATATGTAATTCTACTGTACTAAAAGCTTATGTCCAAAGTTTGCCAGAATACCATTTCTAAGATTAGTGATTGGGTTTGCTTAATTGTACAAGATGCTACAGTAATAATTGATTTCGAGCCTTATAAACATTTATTCCTTATTAAAAATAAACATTTTTATTTATATTTGATTTTTTATTGCGAAAATAAATGAATATATGTATATATATTTCATCGATTCAAATACTCTGTTAAATCGACCGGCAGAGATCACGCTTCCCCTATAAAAACTCATTGTTGTTATTTCCTGTTGGCCTGCTCAAACCTTTGTACATTATGTAAATAAGTATTTCATTTTTTATTCTTACGCCTTAAGCCAGGCAGTACATTTATCAAATTATGTATTTTATATATTCCTTTAGTTCAATTAAAGAAATCTCTGATCAAAACTATTTTTAGTATTATAATTTCAAGATTTTGCCACGACTGCATCACCAATACCATTTAGTACTAAAAAGAGCCAGCAAATAACTCCATAGCATAATCCTCAACATGATCAAAAATACAACAGAAAATCTCATTTTTTATTTATATAATATATATATAGATGGGAAATTTGCCGGGAGGAAATTAATCCATGGAAGCAATGGTCGCCTCTCCCATCAAAATAAACGTCAGTTTCTGACGTTTATTTTGACGGGAGAGGCGACCATTGCTTCCATGGATTAATTTCCTCCCGGCAAATTTTCCATCTATGTTTTGCCAATAGATTTGGCCCAGCCAGATTGCCAGAAAAACACCTCTTTGGTAGATTGTGAGTATTCCATTAGATCCCGTGTGGATCTCATGGAATAAAGTCCGCTCTACACTAACGAGGGCCATTAGCCCGAAACCATGGTCTCTAGGTGGACGCTTATCAGTTTGCCAAAGTTGGTGTTGTGGCTTTGTCACCGACCCGATGCCGCTAGTTGCGGCGACGGTCAATAGATGGCGTCAGTTTCTGACGTTTATTTTGACGGGAGAGACGACCATTGCTTCCATAATATATATATATATATATATATATATATATATATATGCTATATTAAAGTATTATTTTATTTGAAATTATATTTCATAGATTCAAATACTCTGTTAAATCGACCGCCAGAGGTCACGCTTTCCCTATAAATACTCATTGTAGTTGTTCCCCGTTGGCCGGCTCAAAACCTTTGTACATTATGTAAATAATAGTTTGTTTTTATTATTCTACTCGCCTTAAGCCAGGCAGTGCTTTTACCAAGCCATGTTTTTTATATATTCCTTCAGTTAAATTAAAGAAATCTCTGATCAAAACTATTTTTAGTATTATACTTTCAAGATTTTAACCACGACTGCATCACCAATACTATTTAGTACTAAAAAGAACCAACAAATAACTTCATAGCATAATCCTCAAGATGATCAAAAAAATACAACAGAAAATCTCATTTTTTAATTTTTATAATATATATATTCACATATTTGAAGAATATCTATTTGATATCTGTTAAATTTGAGCAGCCGAAATTTAATTTTCGAACATACCTGGTCGATTTCTTGGGAGAAAAAAAAAAGAGTGTGGCAACACAGAGTTATCTGGCAACTATCAGTAAAATTTACGCATCAGACGATTTTAATTCGAAGCAGAAGAAGCACGCTACTCGAAGATTATTTAATGGTTTTCCCGCACTTTTTGCCAAAGTTGCAATTTGTTAAGCAGAAGATAAAGAAGCACTTTACGAACTAATGATAATGGAAAGAGATTTTCACTTTACCCAAAATTAGGGAAATTTAGTTTTACAGTTTAACTTTTGTTAGTTTTTTTGTTGTTTTTTGACTGATGTTTGAAACGTTTGAAACATTTGTTCGCATCTTTTAAACAAAGACAAATTATTTATGAAAATAATATAAACATATTAAAAAAAAATTGTTTATTGTGTTTACATTGTTATAATTATTTTATTTAGTAGATTTTAAACATATCTATTTATTATAAATCAGACGATTCATATCCCCGATTATTTTAAAATAACTCATTAATACTTATATATATTTACTAGAAGAAAATTACTTGATTTTTTTTATGTTCTTTCGGAGTCAATGTTTGATTATATATATGTTATAAAAACAAATGAGATTTTCTGTTGTATTTTTGGTCATGTTGAGGATTATGCTATGGTTATGCAGTCGTGGGAATAATAAAATAATTTCAGTTATCAAAATAAATTTAATTGAACTTATGGAATATATAAAAAACATGGTTTGATAAAGGTGCTGCCTGGCTTAAGGCGAGTAAACAAGGAAAACAAAAGATTATTTACATATAGTACAAAAGTTTTGAGTAGGCCATTGGGATAAAACAACAACGAGTTTTTATAGGGGAAGAGTGACCTCTGGCGGTCGATTTAGCAGAGTATTTGGATCTATGAAATATAATTATAAATAGAATAATATTTTAATATAACATATATATATATTCTAATGAACATTCATAATTACATGCAATAGTATTTATACATATAGTAGAGTATTAAGTAAACCAAAATTCAGAATACTTCACTCAACTTTATTTTTAAAAGGTATTCTGGCAATTAAAGGTGACAAAGGAATACAGCTCTACCTGACCTTCAGTACACATTGGGGACATTATGATTTCCTTAGTGTTCCGTTTGGAATTAAAATAGCCCTTGAGATTTTCCAGACTACCATATCCAAGATTGTAAAGGACATAATTGGTGCAGAAAACCTCAATGGATGACATTAAAGATATCCAAACATTGAGAGAAAGGACTAAAATAGCCATGACTACTCCTCAGGATGCAGGAGCAAGACTCAACAAGGACAAATGTGAATTTGAAAAGACAAGGACAAACTTCTTGGAACATACTTTTACCAGTGATTGAATAAAAAAGATGTACAAAAGGTCAAAGACATTAACAATATAAAAGCATCATCAAACAAAAGGGAACTGCAAAGACCTTTGGGCATAGTCCAATACTCACATAGATTTATCCAAATTCTATCAGAGAACATACAGAATTAAATTTCTTCTGAAGAGAAATACAGAATGGCATTGGGACAACATGGTGGGGATTTGGAAGGTAAAAGATTATTATTGAAACTATCACCAACCATATTATGATCCTAACAAAGACGTAGTACTTTCAGTCGACACAAGACAGCATACTATTAGATCAGTCCTACTCAAAGACAATAGACCAATTGCCTTCTTCAGCGTTAAATGAAGCTTAAATACATTATCCTTAAATAGAAAAGGAAGCGCTGGCAATTAGATTTGGAAATAACAAATGTTTAGGTTTCTTTACAAATCAGAATGCGAAGATGAACAATAAATTATATTTATTCTAAGAGAGGGAACTTCCTAACCTATGGCCTTTCTATCAATTATATATATACTAGCCGAATGACCCGGGCAACCCGATTAAATGCTTTTATTCAAATACTATTCGTTACAATTATAAATTGGCGCCGTGGATGTCATTCTTGTAAAACGTCCCGCTCCAAACTTTGTGTCTGAAAAGCGATATTTTTATAAAGAGATGATCTGGCTTTGTGTCTTCTGCTCGAATGAATGTTTTTCTGTTAGAATTTTGTTCCTGCATACTAAAAATGAACTGGCTTCACCCGTGGTCTCTGCTTTTTAGAATTTTTCTGGATATAATTTTGTATCTGATAATTAAATATGATACAGCAATATTGTCATAATCATTTTCTGACTAAAAAAAACAACTATTTTTGCCCAGAGCCTGTCAATTTCAATTTTTCTTGGCTAAAAATGCGACAAATATCTCTTCCATATTTTTTTCCTGTGTCCTGTTAAAACACGTTTAACATGTACATTAGATCAGCTGATATTACCTCCCATCTTCACCGCTAGAGGCGCTGCTTGCGAGCGAAAGAGCAAATTTTCAACTCAAATTTGCAAATAACTCGAAGAATATTCGGGATAGAGACCTGAAATATTCAATAAAAGTTTTTCCAGATTCTACTATACATACTGCTAAAATTTCAGTCATATTAGTTACGTATTTTACGTATATTACGTAAAAGCATTCCATTCACAAAAGCAAACGGTGACAGAATTATTGATTGTTGTTTGTTGATTATGACTCTGATACTTGTATATTTTAATATATTTTTTAGGACGCATGTTTTTTTGCTGTATCAGCTGTTATTAATACAATGATTATTTTATGACTGTAAAAAGTAAACAGTACTAATAGCTGTATTTTTGTAATTTGTCAATAAACTGTACATAGACAGATAAAGCACATAGGCTATAATTCGGTACATAGACCATAAATCTGTACATAGACAGGAAATGCACATATATTTTAATAATATAAATGAGTTTTAAAAATTGTAAAAAAAAATGCCTTGGCCGGAAATCGAATCCGGGGCGCATGCTTGGCAGGCGAGCATTCTACCACTGAACCACCGATGCTTATAAGAAATGGCCATATTTGGGTATTTATTCCATTCACAAAAGCAAATGGTGACAGAATTATTGATTGATGATGACTCTGATAACTGTATATTGTATATAATATATTTAATAAAAGGTTCATTTACATTCATATTAAAAATATTTATTGTCCAATTTTTCCACAGCAGAGTGGCGCAGTGGAAGCGTGCTGGGCCCATAACCCTCAAGACCAAATTACCCTGAATCAAACGGTCTTGCTGATTTAGCTGTGCAGATATCAAAGAACCAGAAAAAAACAAACAAAGTGGAGACGATATCCAGATCTCGCAACTACAGAAACATTCCCAGAGAGGACATGAGATCACCAGCTCAGAGACTGTTATCAAAAACAGAAACAATTCAGCCTATAAACAAATAACCACTAAGAACCTGAATTCAAAAAAATGTCAGTGAGAACCTAAGAAGATCCAGAAACAATCAGAAGAAATTCTATGACACAGGATCAAGGGATGAACCAGCTGCAAAGATTGGAGAAGAAGTTTACCTATAAGAAAACAGAAGAAACTGGAAACCGGCTACAGTATTTAGTGCACACGGTCAGGAATACCCTCCAAAACAATAACGGACTCTACAAGAGAACCCAATCTCACAATAGAACAGACTCTAAAGGAGAATGAGAGCACCATAGAACCCAGTGGAAATGGCAGTTCATCTATGGAGCTGTAACCAGAAACTGAAGACACCAGAAAAGAATAAAGTTCACAAAAAGTGGAAGCCTGGGTAAGTCAACAGAAGACTCAATGTATAATGGGAAAGATGTGATATAAGTGAAACTATATTTATAGGGTAGAATATATTCGGCAACAATGTAAATAACATAATGTAAACAAGCATAATTATTATAATTACAATTAAATTCTCACAATGAGTATCTTTTTTATTTAAAAACGCTAGCTTTCAAGCGTTATTCGCTCTTCAACGGGTTTACAAAAATATCGACTTGATCCCACCAGAAATATTTACAAAAACAAACGCTCGCCGCGTGGATATTTATAACTGAAAATTTTGAATTGGTTTGTAATTTAACTATTTTAAATATTTTATGGAATATATCTATTTCAATTTATCCAGAACCTATAAAATTAATCTATTTTCTGTTTATGCTGTTGTGTATTCATTGGAAACAAGAGATTCTAATAGTAACCGTTGAAATTTGTATTTAGCTTAATTATAAACCTCAAAAACAACAACCTTAAATGTGGAGAAAATTCGAAACTATTATAGACGCGTATGATTCTTTTTGAAATAAAATAATTTCTACTGCCCTTACTGGAATGAAAAAAATAATGGGAGGGGTTGGCTCATCAGTGGTGAACCCTCCCAGCGGTTTCGCCAGTTTAATATACCATACCGCTGTTATATTGCATTTTCGATCTTCCTTTTGTAGTGATACTGATGGTAGACTATTGGAAAGGGTATTTTTTGTAACAATGTTAATCATATAACAAGGTAAAAACACTTAAAATAAACAAATTAATGATGATATTATTTTCAATTACTTACAATAATATTACATTTTGAATAAATAATGTATATGAGTATATATCGTTTTGAAAATAGAGCAATCCATACTTAATTCATTAGATAATAAAAAAGCATATATTGGATTTAATAAAATATTTAATTTGCCAATATTTCGGCTGGCTGAACGCCAACCTTTATCGAAGCATTACATTTTTGTATCTTTATAAATCTTTATAAATGTAATGCCTCGATAAAGGTTGGCGTTCAGCCAGCCGAAATATTGGCAAAATAAATATTTTATTAAAACCAATATATGCCTTTTATTATCTAATGAGTATATATATTTTTGAAAATACAGCAATCCATAAATAGATCTTTAATTAAAAATGCATATATGGGTTCATGCCTTTTTATTTAAATAATTATAAACATTCTGTAAATAACAGAATATAAACACGCATAACTAAGTCTTAATAAACACCAACCATATATGTAACATAAGAAGTACTTAAAAAAATACAAATTAATCTGATATATAAAACGACACTTGAAGTTACACCGCATGAACATTGTGGGTTCGATTCCCATCCCTGGACACTTTTATTTTTCCGTTCGTCATTACTCTTCATAATTCATCCTTTCATACCTCATCCAAAAAGGTTAGAAATGGTCGATTTTTCACCTTGAAATAAAATTTAGATTTTTCGTTTAAAAGAAACTCATGCGGTGTAACTTCAAGTGTCGTTTTGCAATCACAGGCCGCAGTGTATTATATTGTAATCTGATATATGTGTTAAATATTTAAAACAAACAATATTATAAAAACTAAAAAACTTTTAAATAAAATATACATATATAATTATAAAGGACTGCGGCGTATGATTATAAAACACTTAAAGTTGCACCGCATAAGTTTCTTTTCTATGAAAAATCAATATTTATTTCAAAAAGAAATATTTACTATTTCTAACTTTTTTGGATGAAGTATGAAAGGGTGAAAATATGAAGAGTAATGGCGAACGGAAAAATATACATAGTTTATTATTTAAATTTAAACAAGAAATAAAAGAATCAGATATTATTTATATTTTTGTAAGCATTTTATTTACATTCTGAAAATTATATTTATATTTCAGCGATTTTTTTATATTTAGAAAATAATGTTTCTATATATATTTTTAAAATCATCAGTAAGATATTTATTATATTGATAAGAAACGTGCAAATTAAAATTTCTCTTTGTCAATTTAATGATAATTTTAATATTTAAAACATGTTAATATATGCTGCAAGAAATGGATGCCGAAAGGGAAAACACGTCTGCATTATAAATTATTTCAAAGTGCAAAATTAAATTTTAAAATATAATTTGACCGTTTCCCATTCTCGTGGTAATATAATTAGAAATGTAAATGTATTTATTTATTAGATTTCATACTACAGAGATCTGAAATATTCACCCAAATCTACTCTCCAAGCAAAATGGTAAATTATAAATAATATGTGACTATGCAGTATGATTTAATTTAAAAAATCCACCTTTCTTTTATTTACATAAAAATATTTTTCTGAAATTACTTTAATCCATTGATACTTTACCTTCAAGGAAAAAGGCTTATTTTTTAAACCTTTACAAAACCTTATTTTTATTAAAATTTTATTTTATTATAATACAATTTATGAATGTTGACTTAGCTTAGACTTTTTAAAGATACAGATTTCAAGAAGATTAATCAAACATTATAGATTTACAAGAGAGAGAACAAAATATAACATAGTAAACAAACTTATCTTCTTACAGTTAGCTCCTATTTACTTGTGATCTTACATATATACTCTGTGGGAATTATTAATTAATTAAACTTAAAATATTGATATATATAAACTAAATAAAAATTAAAGGATTATAAATTGGCGAATATATTAGAGATATATTTCTATACTTGATACAGCGCAATGATCTAGTCAAACACCAATTTTTTGTAAAGATTCAAGACCCATCTCTTTCATTGAACTAAAATAAAAATACTGTTTTAAAATTTATGCAAAATATACAATAATAAAATTGTAGACAACTTTTATATAAAAATAAATATTAAAGTCAATTTAAAATAGAAAGATTAACAATTTTAAAAATAATTTCAAAATATATTTCGTAGTGAAAGAATATATATTTTTTAAAATTTTATTTGATGTTTTTAATGTCTATCTTCAAATTTTAAATATGTTGAAAACGTTTAGTAATGGAGGTTTGGAATGATTATGTTGAGATCGTCTGGTAAAGAAATGGTTCGCACCATAATGGATGTCTTTATGGTTCATAATTCACTACAGATTGATGTATGGATGGACAGTGACATATTGTGATTTTTTGTCTGTCCAATGTCCCAGGCCAAAATCGTTGAAAAAAAAAAACTTTGCCAACTGCTATTTATGACTTCATTCCAAACCGATCCTGCCACTTTCCAACTTTGTTTTGACTTAGGCCTAAAGTTTCTTGGCGCGCTTTTTATTTCAGCCTTGCTGATGGTTTCAATGGCAGATTTCCTCTCCACTCCCATAAACGCCGGGTCGTTATACGCCATGTAAAATATGGCTGTAAAATTTTGATGACCCTTTTCTTTTAAAAAATATCGATGTGTTTCAAAATTTTACTCCATATATATATTTCAGTTTTAAGAAAATTATTCCCAGAATAGAATTGTTGTTATTATATATAAATCTCTGTCTATATATAAAAGTCGATGTGTATCTCTATTTATATATATATATTGGTAAAATAATTGATATTTTGATTCAATATATGCCTTTATATATATATGCCTTATATATAATATATATGTTATGAATAATTGTTTGTTTGTTGTTAGATAAAGGGTTGGTAAGACAAAGGATCGATAAGATAAAGGGTTGAAGGTGCAGTCGTGATTAAAAAAAAAAGATAATTATTTACCATCAAGTAGTTTTTATTTTCAATTACTTGAGGAAATATTACACATTTTTTATTTTCACATTATAAAGAATTTATAAAGTTAATCCTATATTAGTGATTCAAAAAGAAAGATATGTTAACTGCGCATATTTACAACAAAACTGAAAGTCTTTCCAAAAACAATGATAACAAAAGTAGAATTATCAATGAATAAAAATATATATTTTTTAAAATATAGAAATTTTAGAGTTTTTAGATTATATATATAATATATATTATTTTGTCCATAATATAAATATATATTAGATAATAAAAGGCATATATTGGATTTAAAAAAATATTTATTTTGCCAATATTTCGGCTGGCTGAACGCCAACCTTTATCGAGGCATTACATTTTTTTTTTCCTCCCCATTGAATATGAGCAAAAATATTTCAAAACTTAATTCTATTGACGTTTTGTTAAAACTGTTTTACCGTTCTTTTACTTTGTACATAGAATGAAGGTCTTAGGTGAAGGGAGACAACGAGCAAGATATCGACATGGTCGGGGAAACTCCCAG